ACAACCCCGTGACAATATGCGTTTTGTACTGCTGTTACACAGCACAAAACGCATAAAAATTACCAAAATTTTGATGGCGGTGAATGAAGCCTTTTTCGCTACTTAGCGCAAAAGAGGCCTATTCCACATCATTTTTTCCCGCACTAACAAAAATGTTTTTAAAGGACTGAACTTCTCCTAGTTCCATTCTCTCTTCCGAGAATTCTGCCTTTTCGTTAACTTTTCATTGTTCGCTGTTTCGCAAAAAAAGTATGTGACTGTAATATATGCCAACAATAAACTCACTGGTGAGGGTTTTCATTTATTATTTATTACCGACAGGAAGACGATATGCGCATAATGTCTGAGGCCGTAGAGTCAACAGGGAGCGGGCTGATCAATCAACAAAACGATACAGCCACACAGCCACGAAACTTCATTGAAAGGCAGATGACGAAGCATTCACGATAAACACTGTATTGCTGAACAGAGAGTTACGTACAACAACAGCAAAACATAATGATAAAATACAATTAATAAGGTAAAATTAGTGAAACAAAATGGGTAAAATACACAGGTCCGCTAGAAAAACACCTATATCTCAATGCTATCGGGAAATAACTAAAACAACTGCTGTTGCTGCATAAAGAAAGATTTACATGAAATTCACAAGTAAATTCATTTTTACTGCTCAAAGAACCGTTTTCGTATGAAATTACGATCTTTTATGCTTAGTTCAGCGTATGAATGAACAAGTGCAAGCCTGAATGAACAGACGACTGTCAAATTATTTCGAAAATCCATTCTGCAGAAAGGAAAAATATACTAAATCGAGTATTTCTGCATTTTCAAAGATAAGCTAAAAGCAATAACCGATCGACCAAAAAACATTTTTTTTAGCAAAACCGAGAAAAGTAAAAACAATAAAATGCGGGCTGGTGACTTAGCTAGCGAAAACGTCCAGCCGACGCACAAGTATACCAGCGATTCAAATTAATGTTTTATAATGCCCGCCGCTGCTTCGTTGGGACGAAAGACACGATGAGAGGCAGT